ACCCCACATCCCCTCGTGTGATCATCCTTGCCATCGTGCCGTCACGCCCGTGACGGCGGCCACTGTAAGACTTTGCAGAGCATATTAACGCGATAAATATGAGAGTTATTGGCTCGTGAAAACAGAAGGCGGTTGCGTCACCGCGTGAATCAATCTCTCGCAAGGTGACAGGAAAAACAAAGAGGGGAGATGCCACAAATCAATAGGGCATGTCTATTCAAAGTCATGTGTTTTGTGATCATCGGACTTGACGTGTTTGGTTATTTATTTATTCATTCCTCCTCTCTCCCCCCCACACCCTGCAGGTAAAGTCCAGGTGAAGAGCTCAGACATCCGAGTGGGCGACTTGATTATCGCCGAGAAGGTGATTGAAAGAAATGTTTGAAAACAAGCCATTCTAAAAGATTATGGACAAATATATACATGAAATTCAATTGCAATGTACTTGTATCTCGCATTGAATGTAAATGTCATTTCTGTATCTAAAAAGGCTTAGTGTTTTTGTACATATCTGTACATTTGGGTTTTTTACTCTTCTTGATGGGATTTTTTTTGGGGGGGCGCATTATGAGGAACTGGGATTAAATGTGTGGCGTCTGAAAAGACATCTAAATACGTCTTTGGGAGCGAATGACTTAAGTTGTCAGTTAAAAGTGAATGTATGTATCAAGGCGTGGGATCGCTTGGCTGTATTGATCATCTATCCCCAGTTAACATGAAGTTAAATGGATCATTTTTAGTTTTTCTGCCCTTCTCGAAATGAGAGAGAAAAAATCCTCTGGAAAGTAAAAGCTTAAGTTTCTTGGTCTGTTTTTTTTTTTTTTTTTTTTTTTTAACACATCAGGCTTCACCGTCCAAGTCAAGACCTTGTTTAATTATTCAGAGAGATTCAAATGACTTTAGTTGACCGCACTGGGTAACTCTCCACCATTGGTTTTCTTCCTAGAACCAAAGGATTCCCGCAGACATGATCTTTCTGAGGACGTCTGAGAAGAACGGTGAATGGTGCCAATATCTGCCTTGAATCCAATGATACCATTCCAGCCGATCTAATAGTGAGACAAACGTGCGAGGGACGGAACAAACGGCAACCTGTTTTACGCCCTCCGTAGTGTTGGAAACGTGACTCCTGACCCTCTCTTGCACTGTTGACATGATTGGATGCGCCAGGTCTGCGATTCATGTGATTTATGTCACATTGTTGGAGTGACAGGTGAAGCGAATGAATCAATAGGCCGCTTCTGAGGGAAGGGCGGGGAGGAAACCCGAGGCGAAATGTTCCTCAAGACTCCGTCCCCCGTCAATCTATAGAACAATAACAACCCGCTCTGCCGGGGAGTTGTTGACATCTTTATGTCTTCAACACACGCGCCGCATAAGCACACATATTTGTCTTTCACACGCCGTACCGCCGAGGAGTGTGAATCATCCTGGCGCTCTCCATCATGCTTAAACCTCCAGGGGACGCTTTACGGCTGCCCTCTAGCCTGCCTGTCAGATCGTGGCTCACATCCATCACTTTCATACGGAATATTACTGAAGATCAATGCAGTCAACATCTTAGGCTTCCTGTCCGCCGGGGCCGTTTATTCGCAGCTTTATCAGCCACGGAGCGAGAACATGGGAGCAGCAAAGGCTCACAGTTTAGCTGTTGAAAAAGTGACACATACGACCCCACCACCCCCCCACCCCTGTGATTTGACAGGGGAAAAAAAGGCTCAAGCTGTTTATTGCCACGCCCACTTGAAGTTTACCGACTAAACATTTAAATTAGGATTACATGTATTGAAAACAACTGCAGCTTTTGTTTTTGGACAGCACATTTAGCTTAATGCTAACAACCAATGCAGAACACCATCGACAGGCTAACGAATAACATCAGTATTTGACTGCAGTTGTAGACAGAATACAACAATACTCAAAAGGCAGGTTTTCTTTATCATCGAAGAGCGACTGATATCACTGCAGCGCCCTTAGGAATGACCGTCTCGATATTATATTTGAATATTTACTGGCCCGCAGAGCGTCAAGGTATACACACTTGAAGGAGCATTGTAGTATTCGTTCGAATTGAAGCAAAAAAAAAAAAAAGGTGGCAAAAAAACGGTTCAATGCTTAACATTATATTTATTTATGCCAATTCCGTTTTGTTTTTTTTTCTCATCAAAATATTCAATCCAAACCAAATAAATAATTTTGTCTAACAAAAGCCTGATATCAGTGATGTCACATTAATGAATAAACATTCCAACAAATTCTCCCTTACGACACATGGAGCAGCAACACGTACAAAGAAAGCATCCGACAAAACTCACTGGCATATATTCTGTTCTGATGTGATCTGATCCAGGGACGTGCTTCATCAGGACCGACCAGCTGGACGGCGAGACAGATTGGAAGCTGAAAGTGGCTGTGGGATGCACACAGCGCCTTCCGGCAGTGGGGGTAAAGCAGACGTTACAACTTCTGAAGCCGAGATTTTGATCATATTATTGGCGTGTGAAAAGTTTTGGTTCAATTTAAAGCAAGTATGGGCAGTGCGTTTTTTTTTGTTTTTTTTAAACCCACGTCATCAAATGATGCTCGTTCAATTTATTCATAACTGTCTCTATCTTTACTCAGGACCTCTTCTCCATCAATGCCTTTGTCTACGCCCAGAAGCCTGAGCTGGACATCCACAGTTTTGAAGGAAACTTCACACGGGTACACTTGTTTTATTTCTTTCCTGTCGAAATAAATCCTCAACATATATTTGAGCAAGTGGCAACAATGGGCGTCTTGTCATCACATGCAGGCCCCGCTGCTACCTAGCGAGCTTCCATCTATCCTGTGTTGCTTGCTTGTTGCTCTGATTTTTTATTTATTTATTTTTTTTTTAATAGCAGATTAGCACAACCCCCACAGAGAGTCGAGTCACACTACAAAGGCCGGCTTTGTGGTCTGTCTTCACTCTTGGCCACACACCAGGCTTAGTGAGCAAGCACTTCCTCCACTCATTCATCCTCCACGGCCTTCCTTTGCATATCGTGTGCTTTGAGTCAGAGCAGGATGGGGCAGTGGTGGGGGCGAGAAAAAAAAATTGGGTTCCCACAGACCCACAGCAAATGAACTTACCTATTTATGAGGGCTCCTCTTTTTTTTTTTCTTTCTCCTCCTCCTAGACTTTTTGGAGACGCGGCGATGCGATGACAATGTCAGAGCGGTCAAGCGTTGGACCGCCCCGCCATTTATTTTTCATGCACTACTTCATCACTTTGTGAGGATTGACAGGATGTGGCTGCTTGGGTGTCATAATTATTATATCAGGCAGGCCATTTGAGATGAAATCGGAGCTTGCACTCACCGCTCCGGACTCGACCATTTCCGCGTGTTTGGCTTTATTTAAGAAAGCGGCGGTGAAACCAGACACACATGCACACACACAAAGGGCCTTATTTGTCTGTGAAATCTCACCGACGTGACTTTGCTGTACTTGTTTTTTTTTTTTTGGCTTCATTTAAAACACAGGTGTCAAACTCGAGGCTCGAGGGTCAGATCTGGCCCGCCACATCATTTTATGGGGCCCGCGAAAGCAGCTCAAAAATGTCAACTTCCATCATCCTTTCTAAAATGTCTAGAACATTTTTAAATTATATGTAATAAATAAGAGATATATTCTGAGCATTTTCTTGTTAACAAACCTCTCATGATCGTAACTTAAATAGTTGAAACAACAGTTATTCTTGACTTCTTTGTACGGTTTCAGTCACAATGGCCCTCCAAGTAAAACGGTAACTAAAATGTAGCCCGTGCCAGAAATGAGACACCCCTGATTGAACAGTGTCCCTTGCAATACAGTAGTGATGAAACGAGCTACTGTATGGCTTCATGTGAGCTGCTTGCGGAAATGAAAATTACGATGGAAATGACGACAACCTGTTTATCTGTAGTCCTTTAAATGCGTTTCGTGATGTATTTTCGTATAGCTAAGACATAACTTCGAATGACACGAAGAGTTGAAAGAACTCTCCCTTAAATAAGAGAATTAAAGGCGTAGTTCCCAATTGACATGGATGAAAATGGTGTTAATCCGTTCCAGGCTCTTAAAAAACATTTTTTTGTAATGTCATTTAATCAGAAAAACAGCACTCGATAACATTGCACTTTATGCAAGCATACAGTATTGACCGAATGTAAAGAATTCAACTATTTTTATTGTTACATTTTTTTCAGCTTCAATTATTTCAATACTTGATGTATCGTGTGGGGGAAAAAAAGCTCCCCCCACAAACGCTTTCATTTTGACCACCTCTGAGTTCCGTATACTTCACGTCCATACGGCGACTCTGTGATGTGGCCGTGAATTTTATCTTTTTATTTATTTTTTGTCCTGTCTCAATCCCACCCCCACTGTAGGAGGACGCTGACCCCCAGGTCCACGAGAGCCTGAGCATCGAAAACACACTGTGGGCCAGCACGGTCGTCGCCTCGGGTGAGTACGTTTTCCTCCACCCTCCCAGCTGAAGTCCCCGGAGTCAGTTGAGAGCGTTTGCGACTCCCTCGCTCGCCATTGATTTGTGGTGAACCCCC